ATAAACTTAATCACTGTCCCAAAGACGGCTGCAATCTATTAGGCTTTTTATTTGTTTTACAAACCCTCCACCCACCAATAATGATGATTTTAAATAATAATACAATTTTATTTTTGGCAAATTAGCGCAACACCGCCACAAAAAAAAAAGGAAATTTTTGGAAAAAAATAGGCCTATATATATAAGAAAAAGTTATATAGGCCTATTTTTTTCCAAAAATTTCCTTTTTTTTTTGTGGCGGTGTTGCGCTAATTTGCCAAAAATAAAATTGTATTATTATTTAAAATCATCATTATTGGTGGGTGGAGGGTTTGTAAAACAAATAAAAAGTCCTGCCTAATAGATTGCAGTCGTCTTTGGGACAGTGATTAAGTTTATTATTGGCGATTTTGGCCCTTATGATGAATATGTGAAATAAAAAACAAAAGTCAATTGTGACATCATCACTATTCCTACCAATGTATTTTCCTGCTCCCAAACGTGCACATTTTGCTTGTTCTTTTTCAGGTTTGTGTCCAAAATGCCAATTCAACTCTTTTGCCTTCGGGCATTGCAGGCGTACATGATTTTTTCTTGCATTAATCTAACCTTCGTAGGCCTATGAATAATTTCCACTGTATACAATACGCCACTATTGCTTAATAGTGTTTTCCTAGCCTAACTCAGTCATTTGTTTCATATGACAGGCTTTAGAACATGATGACACGTTTGATGCTGTATACACTAGATTGAACAATACCCGGATAATTGCTCCAGCCTACTATATTATAGGGGGAGTCAAGCCTGACGAAGGTGTTATTATAACAAGAAGCAGGTTAAGATCACTCGACGTCAACCCTTTAATACCAGAAATGGACAAGTAGGCCTATGGCTTTTTATTTATTTTTTACTTTGAAATTAATGTTATTTTGTTATTATTAATAATTAAAAAATAATGTAACCGTAAAACTATTATCAAATACTGTATGTAAAATAAATACAATGTAGAATGAACAAATAGAAGTAAGTATAATTATGTGGTCATGTATTACATATGCTTATATTTTCCCCATTCGTTATAGTTTTGAATTTTATTTATTCTAGATGGTTTGCCTTGGAAACCAATTTTGACAGATGGACAACACCGCCCCCTAGTGATGACAGAAGGTTAGTTATGTCCACAGAGTTATAATTTTGTACCTTGGTTAAAATGACACTCACACACACAAAAAAAACTTTGTATGCATTACCACTTTCAATGCATAGAGACAATGGTATACTTTTAAATGAAATATAATGCAGTTTACTTTACCACACTGTCTCGTAGCGCTCGGTGTGTGAATTAACACGTAAAGTAACTGCCTTCTCCCCTGATGGTCATTTCATGTCCGAGTTACCCGGTAAACCGGTACTTTCGTCCGTCCACAGCAGGGACGTATTCATTTATTTATTTTAAACATCTTTAGACAGGATAACATAATACGCTCTTAACGCTGTTTTACAATTATGTTCCTGCACAAACACTGTACAATAACAACAAAAAAATAAGACAGCCATGCAGAACAAAACAATGTAAAATACAAATAGTAAAAATTTGGTGGAAAAAAAAACTATCCCCCCAGATGCCATCTCAGTATTTTTGAGTCAAGGTTTCGGGCCAGGAATTACTGTTGAAGGTTTGGCTTAACTACATCACATATAGACCAATTTCACGTCTCAAAAATATAGTGAGTTATTTTCGGTGAAGAATTGTTGTTCCACCACAGGAACCATGCGAGTGTGCCACTTGAACCAGCACTAATATTGTGAATACCGGTATAGGTTCTGGTGTCCTTGCCTTTACTCAGCCATTCAACTTCAATTTACTTGCTGTTTTCTAACCATGTCTACCTTTTTTTTGTAGTTCATAATTAATTGATTTTGAGACACAAAATGATTATGTGAGAAGATACTATTAAAAAAAAATATTTATAAAATGGCAAATATCGTACGTCAAATTGATTGTGTCTCTGCAGAGATCCAGCTATTGATGCCATGAATGCAGTTGGTAGGGAGAATATTAATGATAAGACCATGTACGAAGTTTTATCAGTACCACCAGTTCTTAATTAGTAAGTCTTGGAGAATACTGTATTTGAAAACTGTCTAATTATTATAGGTTAATTTTTTTTTGTGATATTTGGTTTATCAATCAAACTTTCAAGGAGCTATGAAATCCCTTAATTTATACAGTTGTTATTGGATCTTTATTAAGAAAATAAAGATCCAATAATCCAATGGAATACAATATAATATTCTTACCAAAATTAGACAGCAGTGATTCCTATTGGTTCTTACTAGATACCAACTTATAGTCTAGGTGGAGAGAGACGGTATAAATAAATTGCATCCCTAAGAACGTAAGTGATGCAATATACATTGAGCGCATTTGGCACCAGGGTTTAAAGCTCAAATTTTCTGTTTCATGCGTATATATACAGTAGTCATGATGTGCCTATATCTATATATGGTCATGATGTGATGTCATCATGACCATATTTCTGCATGTCACATGTTTTTGTCAAACATCAAATATACTTTGATTATCTGGACATGGCTTGAAGTCTGAACCACAACCCCTTCCAACCGCACCTAAGGTAGATTCACACCGAATCTGAATTCGGTTCGTCGAACGTTTTCGATGAGCGTCTTAGTACCATTAGGACGCGCCTCTATTTCTTACCACTGATTCGATTTTCGGTAGCCATACCAAATACGAACCGAATTCTAATACGTTGTGAATCTACCTTAAATGCCATGGTCGGTATCTTTAAATTCATGAATCAAATTTTGATTTAACTCACAAAGTTATTTTTCCCTTCTTTTATTTAGCAAGACAACTTTCACCACGCTGATGTCGGCAGCAAAACCTGATTTATTTCAAACTTATATTCGTCATCCCTAGTCAACAAGATGTCATAACATAATTATCTCCATCATTTTATTGAGTGTATATCTCTAAAACAATTACTAAAATATGCTAATATATGAAGTCTGTATACAATTATTTGTATTAAGATTACTATTATCAACTACCAACTGAGAATTTATATTAACATACATTATGGTAGATTCTTATTATTAAAACTTATAGGCCTATGTGTGATACGATTTTTTAATAAAGTTACTCTATTATAATTATGTAATGCAATATTCTTTTAATTTGTTTGAATTAATAATGTCATTAATGTGATTGTTTAAACAGGGCTTATGTTTGATAAATTATTTTACTGTTAAATCCTGTAACTGTAAGTAAATGAAGAGAAATTTGTAATACTTTCGTTTCAGTGCCCTCAATCTTACATGAAGGCGTTCATTGATGTGATTGTTGTCAAAAAGTCATCTAAATTATTTACTGTTGTTATGTTTATTTTAAACGCTAAGGTAAAACCATGGAACACAAATCTAACTCTTTTAAATTGTAAACTTCATATTAAACAAATGTTATATATCTAATTCCAGTACTGTAGGCCTATTATATAGTGGACGTTAATTCAGTTCTTATAGTATTTGTATTCATTGAGAATTGCAATCGTGCAGTATAATCTATATTTGTATATAACAATAACATGCTATGATTTCTGTTGATTATTAATTCATAGTAATTATTCAATAAAAGTTATCATTGTGATAATTATATTCACCCATCTATGTAATGGACCTTTCCTGAGTGTCAATTAAACTGACCAATCAAAACAGAGTCAGGAATACGCGTGTCCTACTAAACACATGAATTGTCCTAAAAATGCACATGCACGTTACACTATTGTTTTGTGGGACCTTAGCAAAAATATAGAAGTGGTGTTACTTAACGGAAAGGTCCGTTATAGTATTTTAGTTTGTATATGGTTGAAATAAAAGGAAATATTTCGTATTTTTTTAAAGTAACAATTGTTACTTGGTGTAGACATAATAGTAAATAATTTAAACATTCAGTAGTTTTCTGTGTGGCTCAAAAAGTATACGATTTTATACAAAAGTAATTGCAATTTGAATATGATTTAGCTTCAACTTTTTTTTTTGTTTTTCTTTTTATGGCTAAAAGCACCACAATTTATTCATCAATATCATTATAAAATGATAATTGAACTTATACATTTACAATTGATATAGGTCCTACAAAATTGATTTTGTACATTTCTTGTGGGATACCCTTTCATCATCCTCATTTTTCGTGGTTTTCATATATTTTTTTTATTATATTCTCTTCTTCTTTTAGATATATCTAAGAAAAAACACTTTTTTAATTACATATTTTCTATCGATGATACCGTGAACGCAACCATGGCGTTACATAATACGTGGCATCGCAAACCTGCTTTTATTGCGTGTTCAAAAAGAAGAAAAGTAAAATAATAATGTCCTTAATAACTTTTTATATAAAGAATATTCGCAAATCAGTTATACTTATTATATACGGTATACATTTATGCAAGCCATTTTAGATATTTTCTAATATTATGCTCAGTAATAAAATGCCTTTGCATAAAGCTATGGTTCCATTTGTTAACGTTTTTAAGACGTGTATTTATAGGCCTATATACAAAAAAAAACACCTTTCTGTTTTAAGAGTGAAACACCATGATAATGATATCATTTTTTTTTTCGCCCCAAATGTGTTGTTTCAATATGTCATTATAACCCATTCGGTCCTTAACAATACACTGGTTAAAATCAGTTACTAGTTAAAATCAGTTAATGTATTAAATTATTATTAAAAGATAAAAACTTTCATTTCGATGTTTCTCCATTAACAAGCGTTTAAACCAAGATATTTTTAGTGACTCAACTTGTGATCTGAAATCAGGAGCTCTTAAACCACTAATGTAATCATTAGTTGGCGTTAACGTTTTTATATTTTCCGTTTTTCAGTCCCACAGAATGTAAAAAAAAATTGTATCAACCTGTTTCACCACACTCTCGGGCGTTTCTATAATTCTTGCATTGCAAACAAGTTTAGACCCGAGTGCTTTTTAAACTATAATATTTTTTCCCCGGAAAGAGTCAAATTTCATTTCCGCCATGAATGAAGTATTGTAACGATTTTGTTTTCTGATAAATTTTTTTGATAAAAAAAAAATCCTTATTATATGGTTGACATGTATTCCAAGCACTTTAAAACCACTACAAACCCATTTAATATCAAAAAGATTGTCATTCATTTTTCCCTCTCCTAAAAAACCACGTGGCATTACTTTTTCTTTTGTTTAGAATTCTAATTCTGACGCATTCCAAAATTCAATAATTGATTCAATGCCTTCTTTTTTTATACTATTCTCATTTTGATAAATAAAACTGCATCATCTGCTGGTTGGGAAATTTTCACAGTATCTTTTTGATTTGGAATACCTTTAATCAGTCTATCTCCATTTGTTCAAAGAGCTATAATTTCAGCTTCTAAAATAAAAGAAGGGCAGATAAAGTACAACCTTGTCTAATGTGCATTATGACGCCCTTTAAAGCTTCAACCATTGCTCATAATAATACACCCCGTATTACATTACAAAAAATGTGACAAATTTCATAAATGATGAGCCATAATTAATATAATGAAGAGTACAGGAAGTCTTTGTTTACCGTCGTGTTAATACTAAAATACGGAGAGCCTGTTAGACTGTGTATATGAATGTACACAGTCTAGCAGGCTGTGTACATATATTCAATAATATCCTTAATCAATCGGATATTTTCCCCATCAAAACGACCTTTATATAACCCCTTTCGATCAGTGCTAACTATATTTTTAATACATTTTTTGTGTTAGGCCTCCGTTGTTAAGATCATCATCTCGTCCTTTTACAAAATTAAATTTATAAGAAATCGTCTTTGTGATTTAGATAAATTTTCCATTTCAAATTTTTTGTTAAGAGCTTCACAAACAAAAGAGCCTATTTAGGCCAGAAAATCCATAGAATTCTAACGTCAGGTCACCGATCTGTACCAGACGCTTTGTTAAGTTTATCAGGTTCAGTTAATTTTGTGGTGTCTGTTTTATTTAAAAACATTTGAACTTCAATTTTTCCAATGTTTTGATTTTCCTAAAATTTCTATAAAAAATAACTTGTTTGTATAGATTATCATTGGTTTTTTGAGCATGTTCCATTAGATCTTTTTATTTTTTTATCTTTGCCGGTATGTTTTTTCAAGTCCTAGGAGGTATTTAGAATTGGATTTTTTCTTCCTCTACCCATTTTGTCCTACACCGTAACTGAGCACCTTGGGCTTCATAGGCACCTTCTATTATTTTTGTTTTTAATTCAATTTTTTTCTTCATCTCTGTTCCTATTTATCAGAATGATATAAGTTAATTGCTTTTTCTATTTTATTTGTTGCTTTCATTTTCCCAAAATGATTCCCGTAGGCCTATTCTTTTATTTTTTATTGTAAATACCGAATTCTGTTTTCATTCTACTACCTTTTTAATCAACTAACTTTCTTGAATGCAATTCATATCTCCACCAACAACAATAATAATTGTGCGTCACAGGCCTAAGGTATGCATTGTTTTTGGAGATTTATAAAAAAACATTTGGCGCATATGCATTTACCAGTAAAGTATTGAACACCACTGATATCAGTATGTAATAATATATGTCTACCGGTGTCTTCAGTTTCTTTATTTATACACAATCAAGATCTTTTCGTATAAGAATTGAAACCCCTTTACTAAACAAGTTACCAAAGCTTATACGGTTCTCTCCCAAAAGGAAAATAATATATTCGTTTACGTGATCTTCGGTGAGTCGCAATTCTTAGACAAATAATATGTCAACCTCATTCACTTGAGCCAAATTAAACATTTTCTCTCTGTTTTTGTTTTACCGTACTCGCGCGAATAAGCGCCCGGGCGTTAAATATATTTTTTTGCACTTTCTGAGGGGCGCTTATGAAAACAGAGTGGAAATTGAAGGGCGCTTATGGAAATAGATGAAAATCGAGGGGTTCCTATTATATAAATTTTTAAATTCAAGAGGCAATTTTTGAATGAAAAAAGATTATATAATGACGAATGGTGGTTAGAAAAGATAATCGTCCAGAGAACATGACTCATGACAAGAATGCGTGAATATTTACATAACAGCAAAATAGCAGATGCAATTAGTGGTGGTAAGTAGTGGTTAGCTTGTTGGCCATCGGCCGATTGAGATAAACAGGATGGCAGCAGGATCAATGTATTTTTCTTGAAAAATCAGAGGAGAATGTGCTAAAGGTCAGAAAACGAAAAAGAGGAGTGTGACTAGGCATAGACAAATATGTAAAACGAGTAAAGTTGGAAATATAGTGTCTGTCCAGAGATCGGAGCTCTCATCTGTCCAAGAGAAATATCCTCATTTTGATATTGACCGAAGAAGGTGTTTCCACTCTGCAGCTCAAATCATGACAACAACCACAGTCCCAGGATTGATTGGATTATTGACTAGAAAATCTTATGAGGGGCGGGGCGCTTAAGGAAATTTTCACGTTATTCAAACGGGGTGCTTATTCGCACGAGGACGGTACTCTTCATGGCATTGAAGGACATACAGTGAAAACTTATGCTATTATTTTTACACATTTTGTAGTAACACCAAACAGTACTACAACAGTACTAATTTAGACAGTACAAATCTAAA